GCTCTCGGCCCTTTTTGCTCCTCACTCATCTCCCTTCTTTCGCGCAACAGCTGTGCGTACGCGGCCTCGTCTCCATCCAAATACCAGCATTAGCAGCATGCTATGAATACTCCAAAGTTAAAACTGTCACAAAGCATTTGCCATGCCGCTGTCCTCTTACATTCACCGCCACACACTCAATCTCTTGTAGAGTGACAGAGATCTAGTCGTACACTGACATCCAGCTCTGACCCTGACATGTGCGTTTTATAAGCTGCAAGAAAAGCCTGCCAGCTACTTTCTTCAAAACGCATTACAATGACATGAAAACAAAGTAAGGTGGGGATTTAGGGGGTTTATTTAAGCACAAAAAAAGAACACTCAATTTAGACTTTGGTTAAAGAATCAGGATTCAAAACACGGTTGTTGCCAGTGTCTGCAGAGTGCCGGGTACTAATTTACCAGGTTCCTATAAAAAAGATGTCAGGGAAATACCAATTTCATTAATGTTTAAGCATATAACACAAGGAAGTTCACTGAAAGTAAAGGGAAGCTAAAACAACGTGCAAATTGTTTTTGCTGAAGTGAATGTCAACTTCTGTGAAAGCCAGGCTGCTGCAGGGTAGATGGCCTGCCAACAGTTCCTATTCAACAGCATCAACACAGACTGAGGGAGGGGGTTTCTACTGTGTGTGTGTGTGTGTGTGTGTTGAAGAGAGTTGGGGGGGGTAGAAAGGGAGAGCTCAAGGAGAACTGACAGAGTGTGAAAAGGGGTGTTTATTTATTTGGCAGGTCAGCAGAGAGGAACTTCATATTTACAATTACAGAGGAAGGTGGCTGTATGGTGTGTGAACAAGCGTGTGTGTGCTTCACCACACGTGTTACGTGTGTTTGCTCATGTGTGCATGCATTTAAGGGAGGAGAGGCTGCGTACACTTCTCCGTGTCAGTAAGGACAGTGCAGTTTATGCATGTCTGAGGATACCGAGGGGGCTTTGCAACAAACAAACATACCGTTTATGATATAATATGTGTGTGACTGTGCCTGTGACTAAAACCAGTCCATGTGTCAGAATGGGGGAAGGTGATTAGCATCTCACACACAAGTACGGCCCTATTTCCTATTTCACTTTAATAACGATTGATCAGTTTACCATAAATAATGTGGCGAGTCTTAAAAAAGCACATATAAAGAAGAAGAATTAGAAGGTCAAAACATATCTAATTTCCTGTATGAATACACACGCTTTAGACAAGAAGATGAACCAGGAGGTGATAATAAACAGATATTTTTATTTTAATATTACTGGATATTCAGGTTTGTCACCTATATGTCTTATGACCAATATATTGTCAGCTTCCCTTTAAGATGAACCTGATGCAGCAGCTTGGAGAGATGGACAGGAGACTACAAGCCAATATTAAATAAAGAAGGCAGATATGAGAGAGAGAGAGAGAG